CGACGCCAGTGGTCCACGTATTAAACAGTAATTTCGCCCAAACTTAAGTTATTTATCATTAATACAAGTTAAAACAAAAATTTTGGAATTATTTACGGACGAAATGTACAATTGGCTAAAAAAAATTGCAGAAAAATAATGCCAAATAGCACGTTTACCTGAGCGCGTGACCCGGAATCAGGAACTGCAAAAGTGGCGACGTCCACAAGCGGTTTTGTACACGTAGTATTGTGTAGGTAAGTGTCGTAGTTATGATAGAGATTGTGGGAGACCAATTTTAACTGATAGTAGTATTAGTACAGACGTACGTGGTCCGCATTCTTCAAACATCAGTAAAACCAAGTCACTCGATCGATAACGTATGTATTTTATTAGAAATAGTGACGATTTCAGGTGAGAAAGAAACAGCTGTTCACTCAATCTACGTCGTAGTGTCGTGAATTACTTCGATGCACACGTTGATTTGCATACTACTACTACTACTACATAGGCATCTATAGACTAAACAATTGGATTAAAATAGAATTCTAATGCATGTATTTACGGTACTATCATAGGCTTAATCACTCATGCCATAGCATAGCATAGGCTAGGCTAGTGCAAATCAACACAAACGTGGCCTTGTAAGTTGTAACGCGTAGTGACGTGTAGCTCCAAGAAACGGTCTTGCTAGGGTTAGTTCAATAGTTGACCGTATCGGTATTGTATATTGATACGGTATAGATCGGTATAGATATTGATACGGTATAGATTGTATAGATCGGTATAGATATTGATACGGTATAGATTGTATATCGGTATTGTATAGACAATCGGTCGCACAGCCTGGTCGGGCTAAGTGACGTACGTGGTACGTAGGCCTACGATCAGGCTATATAATATCAAAACGTAGGATTTTAAGAAAGAAAAATAACGTATAGAGTAACGAGTTGTAGGTGTCTTGCAGATTGCAGAGGCTAGAATTTTTCCATTATTTGTTGGATTCTGGTTAGCCACAAGTTCCCATCTCGCTTAACACTACGTGGCGAGACACCGTGGTGACCGTCGTGTAACAGTCGGAGAGCCTGGTCGGTTTAGATTCTGGTATGGTAGCATCTATGTAGCCCGCTTCTCCACCTCACCTGCACATCACAAACCAGGCTCAAGTAGCTTGCTCTAGTCTAGGGCACAACATCAGCGACTGAGATGAGAGTTGAACCCCAAACCTCACAGTCACTATAGTCCAATATATGTCCTTCATGCTACAAATATGAAATAAACTGCTTCTACTCCTATTTGTAGCACAATTGAGATTTTCCTGGTTCGAACAGTCGTTCATATAATACCACTCTTATTGTGTATTTGCAGGTTATTTTAGTCCCACCGATAACATGGCCAGACTTACCTGGCTCATACTTATTTGCCTCGTGGCAAGCATAGTTTGCCCACCGGTCGACAAAAACTCGAAAAAATCCGAAGAAGACAAAAAAAAGGAAAACGGAACTACTGATAACAACGACGTAAGTTTAACGTGCATATATACATGGTCAAACAGGTGTTAGCAGATACATGTATTTAAAGGACACTTCAGGGTTTCCAATGTGTACCCCTATTGTCCATGTTGAGCTAATGACTATACTAGTATTTAATGACTAAAAGGCATGTGGGTGCGGTGTATCGATCACAAACTAATTGCGACATTCTGGTTGTCCTGATGTTGTCTGTTGGTTGTATTTTAAAATCGATGTTTGATTTTTTCACACATAGATCGATCTGCTCGAATATGATCGTTACCTGAAGGAGATTATCGGTGCACTGGAGGAGGATGGCGATTTCAAGAAAAAACTTGAGAGTGCTGACTTTAATGATGTCCAGGTACTAAACGATGTTTATCAAAATTGATTGTGGTGAAACCCTGGACTTAACAGCCACACGCACGCACCCACGCATGCACACACAAACAAACAAACAAACAAACAAACACATGCACACACACATGCATTCGCACGCACACACACATGCACGCACTCACTCACACACACAGACACAGACACACACACACACACACACACACACACACACACACACACACACACACACACACACACACAGTGAGCGTGTTCGCGCACGTTTCCGGCGTCGCGATCGTCGAGGCGAACGCAAACGACTTCGAGTGATGGATGTCGCTTCTAATCGCTAGCTATCCGTTGCGTCAACAGTCTGGCAAGATCGCGAACGAACTCCAGTTTGTCAACCACAACGTCCGAACAAAGCTGGACGAGATCAAGCGCAGAGAGATGGAGCGACTTCGCCAGACGACGAAGAAGATGCTTCAGAAGAAAGAAGGTAATTAATTACTCGTGTTAATGACGCCAAGCGAGAAGTAGCGGAAGCGCGTTTTTGGTTCAAACCGGCGTATTCGAATTGTGTCACCGCAATAAAATTTAATTCAATAAAAAATTGGCATGTTTCCAGTTAGCTAATGATTTTTCGTTGGATTCACTGGAACCAAATTTCCCTC